GGTGGAGATGGGGGGGGGGGGGGGGGGGGGTAAGAACTTGAACATGGACTCGGACTCCCTTGTGGCATTTGTCATGCCTAACACAGACAAATACACGAAGGATGCTCTGACACCACATGCTGACATCCTCCCACAAGGACTGCTGGAAATTAATTTCCATCTGAGGGATATGCTAGTTGTCTGAAATTTGCTTCTGCTTAAAATCAGTGAAGCAGAAGTTGGAATTCTAAATTTTTCTGCAAAATGAAAAAATCAGGAAAGCCTGTGATTTAGAACTACTAAAATGTTTCATTTTATGTCAAACCATGTCAATAGTACCCCATAGTATTAAAGAATTTACAATACAGCATGTGCAAAACATGTATCAAAATACAAAATTGAAACTAATCAGAAACACAAAATAAATTGGGGGAGTAGTCAAAACTTCATTTAAACATTTTTATATATATAAACCTCATTTAGATCAAGTCTTTGAAAAAAACCAGACTTCACCAAAAGTGCAGTTCAGAAGAAACAGGACTGGGAACATGTTTTGGACTAGTTTGACTTGTTCCACTATCAAGCACTTCCTGATACCAGAGTTGGACACTACATCAGAGTATGCTGCTGCTCAGACTAGTAGGGCAGAACAATTTCATAAGAGATCAGACGTCCCAATTTCCCATAAATGTATTGAAGTCTCTCGGAAATCTGGAAATAACTGAAGTATGCAAGGGCTAATTTCTCAGCATTTCCGTTTCCCAGCACCTCAGTGAACGTGTCTTTTGGATACTTAAGACTCTTTGTGACATATACTAGACAATTTCTGCTGAACTCAACTACTTGATAAATCCAGTTTTTTCATCTTGATTTCTTAAGTATACTAAACATAACTCTTAGTACTGTTTTGTATTTGTGAATACACATTACAACTGTACAAGGGAAATCTATTTTTATACTCCATCCAATCTGTCCACATTTGATAAATCGAGACACTACCAAGGACCGAGTCATACTAAAAACATTTTTAAAGTTTGTATTTTCAATTATGTTGAAATTCCCATAGAGTTATAATGTAATCTGATCCAGTCTGCTCAGCCAGTCAGCAATAAATGTAACAGAAGACCAACTCACTCCACTACTTTATCAGTTCCTATGAGGTTACATGAAGACACTCATCTTTTTGAAGAAAATACCAAAGTATCCACGCTAAGATATTACTTTCTCACAAACATAATTATTTGTGTGTTTGGTTTGTTGGGGTTTTTTTAAAGAAACAAATGGCAGGCTGCTCCAGATTAATGTCTGCACACCCTACCAATTTCCTTTAAACTCAGCACGGAGCTGTGGGTTCAAACTTTATCTTGTTTTGTATTAAGCAGGCCCATAAAGGCAGCTACCATAAACTACAAAATAAAGACTTAGAAATGGAATTTGGAAAGGCAGATGTAACTATTCTAGCTGTTGAAACAGACAGAAACATAAATGCTAGCATCATTAAGGAAATTTATGGAAAAAACAGAGTCAAAATAATCACAAAAATAAAATCAAAATCATCCAACTTGATAAATGAGTTTCTAATTAATTCAGTTAACAGCTTAGGCAAGGAAGATATCGTCAATAATGAGGACCCTAATTTAGCGGTTGGGAAGCCACAGCTCGTCTTCCTGCCTTCCCCAACGTCACACACAGTAGAGGCTTTTCAAACCACAGAATCAGGACTTAGGTGGACTTGCAGCAGCCTGTCTGAAGTTCAGACTCCCTACACTCCCCGGTAACACCTAAAATCAGTTAAGTTATTTTGAGCCACAGAATTTTGCTAGGCACTGAGCAGAGGCATGTGTGTACGCTCCGAGTGCAATGGGATACATGGTTGTGCTTCAAGGACACGTGAAAAGACATGCAAATGCCATCTATGCACCACAAGGGTCCACAAAGTTAGATGCTTTCAGGTCATCCCAAATTTACTTAGCTGCATCATTTTCAGATTAAAATGGGGGAATGGCTGCAGCCTCCTTTTACAGGCCTGCAAAACCCCAGGATTACACCAGTGAAGTAAATGAAAGGGAGCTCCAGAAATATACTCCACAAACGATGTGGTCATGAATGTTTCCATGTACACCTCTAACCATTTCAGAGTGAAAGGGTATTCGCTATGTTGAAAATCATCAAAACCTCATGATATTTTTATGACATTCCAAAACCATCCCAAATCCCAAGCACAGGAACCACACAAAGGACTGAAGTCAAGTATTGTGTTCTCTGGGCTGCTGCTAAACAGCTCTGCATATAGACAGACCCATCAGCCTGTCTGAAACAAAGGCAAAGGAGAGCTGGACCTAGCTAGACCTAATATTAGCAAGACCTAGTGTTAGTCACATTGGCTTCCCTACTCAGAGTCAACTTTGCTGCTCCACGCCTCTACAGAAGGCTATAGTATGGAAAACACGGACTACCTTGGCACCTAGCCTTGGGTTACTGAATGATACCACTTAGGTTATTTTTCTCATGATCTGCAGGTAGAACCATTTCAGAAGAGTTTTAACTCAGCCCTCCCTGGACACAGATGGTGTCACATACTTCATGGCCCTACAGGGGGTTCAGCAAACAATTCACCACCAAGAAATAATGACATGCTGGACTGTGCACCATGGATCACTGCAATGCATACCATGATTCTCTTGGATAAATGATCCAGCAGATATGGTCATCACAATCATTAGTGTACCATTCAGTAGGTTCCCATCTTTTTATTTACTGGACTATATTTTGTGCAAAAGTGGAGTGGTTAAAATAAGAGTGTGTGTGTACACACCCAAATACACAAGCTCTATCAGGATCAATCCTTTGAAGCTGTTCATACATTTTCAAGAAAGAATATCCTTTTTAAATTTCATGAGTTATCCACAGTTTAAACTGATCTTTTCTTCACATTTTCTGCAGAAATTGCTCATCCAGTCTGTTTACAGTCCTACCTGCATGAAATGCGTATACACAATAGTCATGGCTGTATATTCAACTGAAAAAGTAAATTCCCAAAGGGTAACAGGTAACAAATTGTCTTTGAAACAACGTTGAGAACTATGGTAAGAATTAAGTTGGAGTCAATTCAGTCTTTTTAAGTTATGACTGTTCAAAGTTCTTTGGGGGCCAAGCAGCTGGGTTTTTAGTTGCTTTCCTTTTCTGACTCTAAAGCAGTTCCAAAGCTCAGTGCTGTGGAGTGCTTTTCTATCACTAAAACTTGCAATGACCTAAGGAGTCCTACAAAGCCTCACAAGTAGATGAAGAAATTTGGAATAATGTAAGCACAGTGTCTTCTGTTAGAAAACAACACTAGGAGAACTAGCATATGTAGATATCCATACAAATATACTGAAATCTTCCAGTGAAGATCAAACATCTTTTTTAAAAAAGAGACCTGTTAGTTCCAGTGCAAGTTACAGGTTTCCTATACGAATTGAAGGATGAAATTTTTAACTTGTTTCATGCAGGAATAGGACTATATGTAAAAATACAATTGTTCCAGGCCCACATCAATGTGCCTTTCCACAGAGCACTATTTTGATGCACAAAATCAGCAAGAAGATTTAATCACTCTGGCCCAAAATTTCCATTCTGAATGTCAAACAACATGAAGAGTTTCAGAGCTATCACCCTGAGCAAATTTTCTGGTTGTTAGATAATTTGACAGTACTGAGTTCTCTGCCTTTTCTAAGTCTGCCTAATTAGGATTTCATGCATAGCAAACAGAAGTTAAAGGAGATTCATAGTAAGAGAGAAAGAAAATTTTACTTCTGTGTTTACTGTACCTGCAGTAAGACAGTACCCCCTGGGATTGTGAGCTGTAAACAGTATTTAGGGGCATTCTCCCAGGAAAGCAGTTGAACATCTTCAATAGCACTGTAGGAAATCGAGTTTTCCATGTACCCAGTTGGCTGCAAAAAAACAAAGGAGAGGAAAAATATGTTTACTTAGTCATCAGAAGTTTCACAATTTCAAAGTAAGAACAGCACTATCAAAATTACTCTTGGCGTTGAAAGTATCTGCAAAATATCTAATTGGAAAGCAAAATTCCTATACAGGCCATTCGACAGAGAGATTCATCCAGCTACCTTCATCCAACTCATTCAAGTGTTAAGATCACTCACACAAAAACAAAATGAGGCCAGACCTAGGTGCCTGAAATACGAAAATGTCAAATTGCATTTGTTCTGGACCCAAAAATCAATGGAACCTAATTTCAAGTTGAATTGAGCTAGGAAGGGGTCTGACCATGCACATGCTATTAATGTATGAAGAAGCATCTCAATCATACAGACAGAACAGCGGTGTACTATATTAAGGTAGTTTATTCCATGCATTCTTGTTCTTCTCCCTGGCTGCAAGGTTGATCAAGCACATCATCAAAATCCGGACTGCTACATTTGACAGTGGTTCTTGAGGCTCCAACGATTCAGCTCTTAGACTCAAGCAAAAGCAGAGCAACCAACCTACTCCCCTCAGCCTACACATAAGTACTGGTTTCCTGCACAGACTGCTGATGCTCAGTTTAAAGTGAAAGTCACAATTAAAACATAAATAAGTAACTGTGCTTTGCAATTACATGTACAACATAAATTGACAGGCGCAAGGAAACAAACATTAAATTCCTTATTAGTATCCCCATAATTCTTAGGTATTACAGAAGTACAATTATCTCTGAGATAAGCTGAAATACAAATGTATATACGCAAGCACACATAAAATTATGTCCTAAACATAAGCACATACACAAAGATATAGCTGTGTATCTATCAAGTATGCATACATACACCGTACTTCATGCAAGTCTTCATGTTGTTTAAGTAATTTGAGTATTTAACAGAGGTCCTCAAAGGCATCATTTATTTCGCTTTGCTACGGCATAAGCAACCTGATCAGTACTGCTATGGCACAGAAACTATTTTCATACAAAAATGATTAATCCCACCACATGGATAAACCCTTGGGTTGGCCATGTCTTGCAATAGAATAGAGCTCATTACGTTTATGAATTATTTTCTCACTATTACTGGTTTACATGTAACTTAAATTTCTCAAACTTACTCCCACTGTGCCCAATACATAAGTTATTTTTAACTGACAGTCTTGAAATAAAGGCGGCAAGGGAGAAACCACATCTATTTCAGGGTCAAACAGGGCCAACTCTTAAAATCACAACACAGGCTTCCTGGGGGCGAGTGTGAAATAAGCAAATTGCATTTGGAACGTCTCTACTTCTAATTGGTACAACCTTCTTCCATAAGTTAAGTAGGTGGTGCATCTGGAAATCGTACTTCGAAGTTATACACTTCATACACGTTCATAAGGCCATAAACATCATCTGCCAAAATGCAATGATGGCCCTGTCATCCACCTTTGCTGCTACAAAAAGTCAGTTGTCTTTTTCAGCAAGAAAAACCCAGCAAGCCAGGGAACTGAACTTTTAATATCTTCTTCAGTAACGTTTGTTGCGGCAGCGTTCACTTTACACTAGCCCCCGCTGAAAACAATTTTCGCTGTCTCTTTAACGAAAACCTTGTTAGGCAGGAAGTATGATAAACTTCTGCTTATTCATTTACCCACAATATTGTTCTACACTAGTGGCTGGAATCCCAGTGGCTTAACGCTGATACTGTACGTCATGTGTTGCCTACTGGAGAGTAATTATCTCGTTCTCACAGGAAGCCAAAGGCCCAAGATCCTTCAGTAATCAGCATTACAACACTCGGGGAAAAACATGAAAACAGCCAGCATAAAATCTAGTATGCTCAGGAGGCAAAGTTATCAAAAAACATGCTCTGAAAGACTGGAGAAGGGAGAAAACCAAAACCAGCCGACGCAAATACAAAATTAAATGAATCAAAGCTATTTAAATTTCTCTCTTAAGAAGGTGCTGACTGCCCTTAATACCCTCCATTAACTTCAAAGAGGATTTGAAGAATTCTCACAGAATCTGTTCCCAGGAGAAGCCTATTCCGTACCTTAAACTATCCATGTCAAAAGCATTAAAGACAACTGATCCAGTTCAATCACAGCTCTGTAGCCATACACAAGTGATTTCATCACAGGCATAAACTTCTTCTCACAGGACAGTCCTTTTCGTTAAGGAGAACGGAGGAACACAGAGTTCTGCAATTTGCAAAGGATGGGAAGACCACCTAAACCATAACATGGAATTACACAGATGGTTACTCTCTCCAAATGAAAGCATTATGCCAATGAGGTCGTTTACATAGCACTCGTATGATCCCACTTCCATACCTTCTATCAAGCCATACCACACAAAAAGCTTTACTACAGTTGTTTGCTATCTTACTCAAAAAATTAATAGCCCAAATCTACTTTAATCCATGTAAGCAATGCCATATGCATTGTTTCTGTTTTCATTAAAAACACCATGGTCTACAAAGTGAAATATTTTCAATTCTGAAAACACCAGCTATAGGCAGCTTCACCTCTGTTTTGCAATGAAAAGAGTCTAAAGCAAAGTGATTTATGTGGAGTTCCTTGAAATTGTGCTTCTAGATGCTCTGAAACACTGAAGACCACGCTCCCACATCAGAGCGGCACAGAAATGCTCCAAAGAAGCACTGAAACAGAGCTGTCCTCAGACTCGAGGTTCCCGGACCTCACAAGGCTACGGTGCTCCTCACAGAGGGACCACGGCACTAATGAGGTGAAGGTCAGCCCCACATAAAGGTGTCCTTTCCCTAATCCCTGCGCACACACAGATGCGAGGACAGAGCGGTGTTCCCCGGTTGTGTTTTCTCAAGACCAAGCACAGTTCAGTCGTTTATCAGGAAATGGCCTGAGGTAAAACCACAGCCTGAGTCACTGGTTCCTCTTAAAACACAGGCTATTTTGACATTCAGGTACGCAAACGTCGATCATGGTGAATCATTGCGGTTGATAAATAAGCAGTGTAAGTGTTGCACATTCTCATGTTCCAGTTGGTCTTGCTTGCACACAACACCAGAAGCTGCCTCTTCACCCCCGGGTCCCTCCATGGGAAATTCAAATTAGAACAACACACAAGACCAGCAATGTGGATTCAGAGATTTGAAAATATCTAAAATGAGACAGATCCTCAGCAGGTACCACGAAGCATCTGGCATCAATACTCATCTTAAGCAGCATTCCCACCTCCATCCACCCACTTTGCCTCTGCCCATACAAGTATTTGGCTAGCTGTGGCATCAGGCAGATCAGGGAACCCATCCAGTTTTTACCAGATTACTTTTTAGCTCCTTTGGCCCCATTTCTAATGTGAAACAGAAACTAGGATGTTAACGTAACTTACGGGGCAGCATGTCATGGGGAAGGGAGTGAGCAGTGAGAACCTGAATATTTCAGCCTAATTATTGGTATGAGACAGTCTAAAGCCACACCATCTTTGACCAGTAATACATCAAGTTCAGCTGAAAATGCCTTTACTTAAGAAAATAATAATTCTTATTTTTATAGCTGTCATTTTTGAAAGGAGATATGTATTTCTTGGCAAAGTCTGAAATCTATCAAACGAAGCAAGATAATGCACTTTTCTCATTCACTCTACAAAATTAATCCTGACTTAGGAAACTTTGGCCAGAGAATCTACATCTGTCAGCTTACAGATTTACAGTTACAGTTTTAACTTCTGGCTATTTGCTTTTGAACATGTTCTGAAAAACTGTAAGAGACTCATAAATGAAAATGAAATTTATTACAGCAAACAAAAACCCTAAGTCAAGGAAACATTTTTCTCTTCACGTTAGCCTTTAGCCTCCTAACGAAACATGCAACTGCTCCGTTGGGAAATCAGGTATGTTTTAACCTCAGTGAGAACTTCACCTTTTTTCAGTTCCATGAAGATTTATTAATCATACAGCTTTGAAACAACTTTGTACCAGAATAGCCACACACCAAAACCTACTATAAATCAGATCTTAGGGGAATCCAGTGCTCCCAAAACTGGAAGAACACGCAGGCTCACACATAAGGCTAGGTTTCTCTCAGTGTTTCAGGGAAAAGTCGGCAGCAGCAGACTACTCAATAATGCAAAAATATGCCCACTTGTTTCCATGGGAAATTCTAAAAGGGAAAGAAGAAACATGACGTCCATTGTTAATATGAGGCTTGTATGCACTTACTCATATAATAATGTACTAAATCTTCAGCTGCATATTTTCCAAAGAAAGCATCTAGAAAAGATGAATTCTACAAATAGAAATGGTTATTTGCATTAAAACATATTTAGACTGACAAGTCCCACCAACACAACAACAACGAAGAATGATTTTCCCAATTAAATACTCCAGATGGTGGGGGAAAACTGGGCTATTCCAGACCTTTGCTCTCCCACTGTCAGGTGCTTATTTCTCTCTTGGCTGCTCTTAAGAATGAGCCATGCTGCTGTAGCCCAGGAGGAAGAGCATACTGTATTACAGATAAGTTTTCCACACCCAAACAAGATTCAGTCCTGCTAAGTAACATGTAGGAACAGTTGATTGCTCTCAAAACTTTGACGGGGGTGGAGACTTCAGGCAGCACACTGAAGGGTAATGGACTCTGAAACTGCCGAAAACAATGGATGATTCGAAATAAATCTTTGTTAGGAGACATCCATGGCTCCAGAGAATGTCCCTGCAAATGTAGCTATTTCAGATAAGAGCAATTAACATCTTTGTTCATTAACTATATAACCTACCAGAAGACATTTATCAAGTTAGGCAATTAGTAGTACTATGCCATAATATGCAGCGCAGTACAATTTGTCTCACTTTTGATATGGAAGAATTTACTGCCATGTTCACTTGTCATAATGACTTGAAAGAGTTTAAAATCAATGTTAATCTCACAGAGATTAACGTCGTAAGAAAACAGACAGAAAGACTAACAGCGGGGGAGACACCCAACTCTGCTGCAAAGTT